TAAGTGGACGATGGATTTCGAGTAGAAGCACGGCGAGTTAAGTGTAGCAAACAGTGCTACTATATCTGACGGAACATTTGCTCTGCTGGTTATGCTCTCGCCGAAACTCAACAAGTATATTGAAGAGGGGGGTATCCAATCTGGAGCGTTTCTGCAGATCGAGTCGGTGAACAGGAAGACGGTAGCGGGCTATAGGTACGCATACACCTTGGACATGTCGTTTTGTTCTCAAAAGAGTTTCTAGATCAATTACGGTCACCAGAGGAGTACCTGTTGGCACGCCCGGAGACATCTGCGGATCTCCAACAGAGATCAGCCTTCGGGTAGGAGCGATCGTTCCTACCGATCTGGTAGTTGGCACAACGCCCCCCAGCCGTGCTCGTACTGCGAGTCGCACGAGTTTTAGACGTTCGAGCCCGTCGAAGAGCCAGTGCGCTACTCTCTTGTGCCCAAGGATCGGGCCGATGGCGGATATCTTCGTTCGAACGGCGGATCGAAACAGCAACCCTCCGCGTCCCAACCAGGAGGGGAAGGAAGAAGCGTGACGATCAAGTCCATCACCGCGTCGAAGGCTGTCGCCAATGGTGGCCAGCCACAAGGCAGGCAAGCCTACGGCGGGCTGAACAAAAACACCAAAGTAATCAGCATGCATCCTAATGCGAAGGTGTCTGTCCCAAACGCGAGCTCGAACATACAGGCTTCGACTTCAACCGAGTGCCAACCGAAGTCTTCATCCGCCGCGACGGGGTCGTCCGCAGCCAACGGGCAATCGCCTGCTTCTGCGAATGCCGTGTCAACTGTCAAGACGACCCAACATTTCAACTTGTCCAACTTCATCACCGCTGCAGCCTTGGAACACGTAGAGCCCACTCGTATTGCGTTCTCAGAGCTGAACGCAGGCCTACGCTTTGATTGGACGACATATGGACGCATATACGAGATCAGCGGGCCCCATCGCTGGAAAAACGAGACGAAGGAAGGCATTATTCTAACTTTGAAGATTGTGGATAAGGATAGGGTACGTCTATAACGTCAATGACTTGATGAGCTACGCTAACATTATGCAGAATAAGATGCTCCTTGGCTCGTTTGACCCCGTCGCGATTGAACGCGTAATGGCCGAGGCTGTTGTGGGAAAGGTGAGAGGTGATCTGATATTGCGGGGCGGCATGTTACTCACGTAGCGTGCATCAATCAGGTGATGAAACTAAGCAACGTGCGAGTCTGTCCAGTGAAGGAAGAATTTCTCCAGCCGGACATCTTGCCTTTGCAAATGATGTTGAAGTACAATTCCACTTTCTCCTTCCCAAATTCTGTACGTCCAAGTGGCTCGAAAGGGGGACATTTCACTGACTGGTTCTTAGGACTTGCGAGACCAGCAATGCCCATGCAATTGACAGGCATTCACCTGCTCCGTGGCCTGGAGTTCAAGTCCCGCGTGAACGTTCTGGGTGTGGTTCTGCATGTAGGGCAGGTGGCTTCCTTTTCCAAGAAAAAGTGTGTCGCTGGTGAAGAAGCCGAAGGTGATGATAGAGACGATACGGCGGAACGCCGCCGCCTAGAAGTGCAGCTAGTGGACAGATCGCTCTTCGTTGTCTGTTTGACTCTGTGGGATCAAAAAGCAGACGACTTCAAGGTCAAGCGCGGGGACGTTTTGTTGCTGAAAAAAGTTGATGTGGTGAATCATGGTGGTGTAAGCTTGAACGCTTTTAAGTTCACCAAACTGGATTTCGAACCCAATATTAGTGGGGTGACCGAGTTGAAGGACTGGTAAGTCAAGATACTACACGCGAATTATTATTGATGATGCTCCAGGTACAGCGCATTGCCGGAAGATCCTGCCTTGAAACATGTGTCTTCTGGTTACAGTGCTTCTGCTGGCCTACGGGACGGCATTGTTCCGCGATCATCACCGTTGTCTATCAAGGACGTGCTGGAGTCCAACCTCGGTCATGGTGCGAGAGTTGATACGTTCCACTTGGAAGAAGCGATTACCGGTTTTGACTGTCAAACTCTCTACGAAGGATGCCGGCACCCAGACTGCAACAGGAGCCTGGAAAATCGTGAGCATGCTTGTGGCATCGCCAGTCATGCAGTTCAGTCGGAGGACGACGGTGAAAAGAGTTGGTGGTGAGTAGTGAAGCAAGATGGTTGCCAGACGGTCTACTTAATCTTACAAATTTATAAGCTGGTGATGACGGTAGGGACGAAGGCCAAGGAAATGCTCAAAATTATGGCCTTCTCGCCTGTGGCGGACGAAATTCTGAATGAAGCTCCGGAGGAATTGGTGAAAGTGAGAGTAGGTGTCTTTCACAAAAGTCCCAAGGGGTAGCTGAAGCAACATAGGACAATAACGAAGGCGGGTATGAGGCACTATTACCCTCCAAGCTTGGGACAATCTACAAATTCACTATTCAAGCTCGCACTCGGCGCTGGAAGGTACCGTTCATCCTGTGAGAGCTGAAACGCGGCACTAATAATGAATAGAATGTTGACACCGGGAAGTTTTATACGGAACTGCAGTACCACGTCGTCGCCGCTCACCTGAAAGAGGAAGACGAGGAAGAACAGCCCGTGGAAGAGGTGGAGGATGAGGGGGACGGGGACGGGGAGGAGGAGAATGCGGGGGCGAAATGGTCGTATGAGTTCTGAGAAGATTGTCTGCCCATTAGTCTGCTACGATAGATTACGATTATGATTGTACAAGTATGCAAACGTTACACCTGCCACCCATACTACGGACACCTGTCCCGGATATCCTGAGATTATCCGGCGGATTATCCCACGGAGCGCTCGAGATTATCCCCAAGCGACCGTACCCAGAGCGCCCAGGGATTATCCAGTTTGGCGCTCTTAGAGCGTCTAGGATGATCCAAGTCGACTGAGTCGGCTGAATATCTGATCTCCGATGATCAAGGTGTCACACCTTGGGTTATTGAGAATTTACACGATGCTCTCTTCATTATGTATAGAGGGACTAAATCATATGAAAACGGCAACATGGCCACGACACCGAGACGGAAAACCGCCTATACAGAATACAGCCAGCAAAGTGTGCACCTGCACCTACCGTGAGTGATTCATGAAGCCGGTGATACGTGGACATCATAAACGGCATCGAACAGGTCTTCAAGACCAAACTCTGCCACCTCGCCTATCTCGTCCATCGGCTTCAGAAGCTCCAGAGCGTAATTCTTGTTCGCCGCCTCCCCTTCGAATAGAGGAGGATCGACCAGCACTTCGGAAAGCATCTTGTCCTGCTCCCAGCGCCGCTGAACCAGGAGTGCCACTCTACGCGGGATGTCTTTTGTCCACTCGACTGGGGTGGTCCGGTGATGATTCTCCATATCCATGTGTACCGTCAAGGTTTGTAGATGAGACAGGAACCCTTCAAGGAGCAGCAGGACGACTGTTGACACTTGGGGCCGGTATGTCACGACAACGCGTTCGACGCTCGGAACGGTTGAAAAGAAAGCCCGCTCTTCCTCCCTGTATCCGCCCGCCAATACCGCGTTGTCATCCGACCATGCTGACGCTATCTCCAAAGACTCCAGCACAGGCATACGGATTTGTGCCATCCATGCGTAGTGATGCCCGATTGGAGCAGTGAGTAATTTCAAGGTGGTAAGATTAGGAAGATAACCGAGTGCTTGATCATCTTCCAATTCAGATATTGCAGGAAATACAAAAGAGTTGATGATGAGCGATCGGAGTTCTGACAACGTCTTAATCACGTTGAGAAAGAGGTCCAAGTCCATCCTCATGGTGTGCAACTCGCGGGTACGTAGAGAGCATCCAAGCGTAAGATGGGCGAGCCGACTAGTGTCAATCATCCGAAGAAGCGCAGGGAACCCTTCCAAATGGGCATCCGTTAGGCCAGGGGTCAAAACTCGCTTGGACAGCACATTAGGATCTGCCTGGTCATTACGCCTGTTCAAACAGTTGCCTGTCTTCACACGAATTTCGCGGAGCAGTGGAGCACTGGGGCCCAAATCCGAAATCGCATGCATGCAGGTGTGGATACATCCTTCGACAGAAAGAGAAACGAGGCGCCGAGACATCTCTCGTACGGGCTTGCGGAATCGAGGGCATGGTCCGTGTCTGGTCGAGTAGCACCCATTCACGGGATTGGCACTGCACCGTAGATGGAGATGCAATGGCATGTTTCCTGAACGACTTAACCAGCAGTCCAGTGCCGGGGTTTCCTGGGTGGGAGTATTGTGCGCAAGGTACCGTGTCCAAAGCTTGGGGTGATTGATAGCAACCATACGCCAGCGTCGACAAACCTGCGAGACATTCATCGGGAAGATATTCCAGAGTGGCGTCGCATGTAAATTATCAAATCGGGACTTGATGAACAGTTCCGGGCCGGTGAGGGAGCCTAATTCGAAGATTTGAAGCAGGATATCGTCGGGAACAGCAGTAACAGGTCTCGGGTGTGTATTTTGAACAATACGGTCTCTCGTCGCTTCCAGCTTTATGCACAGTTCCGAGTGTTCGTCTCGTGCTGCAGAGCATGCTTCCTGTAGTGTTTGTATCTTGACAACCACAGCCTCTATCTGTCGCTCGAGTTCGAGTTCTTCTTCTGTTTCCTCGGGACTATTACTAGTAAGTTCCAGGTTTTCTTCTGCTACTCGCGAGTGCCACCAGTTTCTGTATCTAGTTAGCTTATGACACTCGGCGAGGCTGGTCTTAACATCAGCGCTTACCTATATGCTAACGAGCCCCCAGGATAGATTTGTATTTTGGAGGGGTTCATTTTGGAGGGGTTCATTTTGGAGGGGTTCAGAAAGAATGCCCCACTGGCAGTAGGCAGTCGTAATATACCAAATGATGACTAGTACTGTCGTCACCCTTGCTTCCGCAAAAACATCCGCCAGCCTCCCCTACACGTTGCAAAACAGGATAAAACTCTCCTCCTCTACAGCTACATACATACATAGAATCCATGGTTCGTTAATGCTACTCAGTCTCCAAAAGGTGCTATCTATAAGAAGGGAATAATGCAAGAAACAGCATATGCATAGACAGGCCAGCCAGTGCAAAAGTCTATAATCGTCTTCGTCACGTGCTCATTCAAACAGTACGGTAGTGATACTCAGTCCAGGGAGAAGCATATGGAACCTGCCTTCTCCCGGTCTGTCCCCTTGCAGGGGTACGTCGACCCAGTCCTCCTCCGCCGTGGTACGGTAAGCGGCTGTCGCCCGGCCCATCTCCACATATAACTCGATCTCGAACGCGCTTTCTTCATCGCTCATGTTCATTACCACTACCGTCCAGCCTGCTGGCTCTGCACCCCTTGCAGGACGCTTGAACGCTAGCACCCGCTGCAGAGGCGCCGAGCCGAAGACGTCATACCTCACACTTCCGATCGGGATGAACCTCGCGAAGTGTTTGAGGAGGAAGAACCGCTTTGTGGTGTAGATCTCGTAGTTTTGCGTCTTGTTAAACGATGGGTCGTAGTACAGCAATCCGTCGTTGTATCCGTGTCGGTTGATAGTGGTCGCACACGTCGTGCTGTTGAAAGGCGAGCAGCCTATGGCCTTGCTCACGGCGGTCCACCAGTCGAAGTGCGTGTCACCGACGAGGGTGAAGGACTTGTACAGGATCACACCAAGCTGGAGGGCGCCGACTATCGTTGGGCTACGGAAACGGATGAGTGTCACGAAATCCAACGATACAAAATACAGGCACGCACTCATAGGTCTGGCCAAAAGCCAGGGGTGCGAGAGGGTCACCCTCCCTCTCCCCCTCCCGCGTCTTGAAACAGCAGATCTCCGTGAACCACATGTCCTTCCCTCCGCTCAGCGCGCGCCCCTCCACGCCCATAGCGGTCAGACTCCTCTCATCGGCAAACAGGTAATCATGGTGCGCCACAGCGGCGATATGCGCTTTAGCCAGAGGGAGCCAGAGCGGGATCTCGGGCAAGAATTCGGGCACAGTGCTCGTTTCGTCTGCGAGGATTCCGACGTGGGATAGGCCGGCAGCGTCTAGCGTGCGCCGGAGCACGGAGGGGAGGGAAGCGCGCAGGGCGGGGAGGACAGCCATGCCTTCTTGCCGACAGGGAGATCCATCAAGGTTGGCAAAGTTCTATGTGTATCGTCAGAGTGATCTTCCGCGACGCAGGACAGCGCATATACTTACGTTATCCGGCTCATTCATCGGGCTGACAAGGTCGAACCTCACACCCTCCTCCTGCCAAAACACTAGCACATCCGCCAGATACTTTGAAAAAGCTGGGACGTTCTCCTTGCTCATCATCCCTCCGCAGGCATCGCCATTGGAGGTCAAGTCGGCGGGAGCGGAGTTGACAAATGCTGTGAGCTGCTCGACGCCGTAGGAGGCGGCAGCGCGCAGGAAAAAGTTGGAGGCCGTGTCAGCGGTGAAGTTGTAAACTCCGGGAGCAACATAGGGCGTTGGTGGGCGTCGCCTGCCCCCGTGAATGCATACAAGAGCTCAAGTCAGAAGGCGCTTTTTCTGCAGAACGAGAACACGCACGAAGGGTTCCCGACGCCCTTCCCTCCACCGCCAATATTGTACCGGTAGCTCGACAAGCCCAAGCCCGTGTCTTTGCTAAACAGCAGTTCGGCGACTTTCTCCTGCTGTGAGACGGGGAAATGCTACAAGGAGGTTATTAGTGCCTGAGTATGCAATATGGACTGAAGAGAGAGCACCTGGAGGTCGAGGGGCCACCAAGCACCGGATACGCCGATACCGTTGATCGTCTGTCCCGGAATGGGGGAGATAGTGACCCCTACACGAGTGTTCAGCCTGCGTTCTCCAGCCGTCCAGCCCCCAAATCGCATCAAAGGCGCCTCAGTCCACAGAGAGGAAAGCAGGCATAGGGATGGGGAGGGAGGAAGGGGACGTACAGCGCGTCCTCTCTTCCCTGTCTTTGCAGCATACGCTCAGGAAACGACATGCGAGCCGGCATGTATCGCCCAAGAAGGAGAATTGGTCCGAGAGGGGGTTGAGCCCCGGGGAGAGGTAGGGCGTCGAGAAAGGGAGCCGCATCGCCGCACTTGATGCAAAGAGGGGTTGTGAGGATGGTACACGTTGAGCAGAGCCAGGTAGGAGATGCGAATACAGATAAAAGGTACACGGGTGAGATGGTTGGACACAGGAGTTGTGCGCAGATCAGTCGAACGTGGAGTGCCGCTCGAGGTGGTGTGGTCGTCAACGGTCAGGCCAACAGGTGCTGCCAGGTGTAAGGTTGGGAGGTCTCAGGAGCGTGTCAGAAGATGATCTATGTCTGTCCACCAGCCCGTGATGATGAGATATGGCCGAGTGTGCTGTGCTCTGCTGCGAGAGTAGGGGCGAGTCTGTTGTGTGCTGTCAGTGTCAGGTTTGATCGAACCACCAGAACGGGTGGCTTGGCTGGGCGTTTCTTCTGCTCTCGCGTAGGAGAATACACTTCAGTCGTAGGGCGCAGATGATCTATAAATAGAAGAGTGGTAGAATACAAGCAAAGTTATAGTTAATGATAGTACAGACACACGCCGCTGACTGCAGTACGACGTGCGGAGATGATGACCGTTTGCACCGCCCGATGCGTCGTCATCTCCGACCCGATAGCTTATTCATTGCTTCCGAGGAGCTAGTCTTGGGCGCTTCTTTTGTCAGCGACATTATCTGTCCCATGACAAGGAACGTTCACGGGACCCCGTGTTCCAACATGACAGCTACGAGATCACGAGAATAAGAGAACGCAATCATCCATGTATTGAGGGGTCGTATACACATGACGGGTTAATCAAAGGAAACGATGCGAGGGTAAAAGGAGGGGAATGCGGATGAAGGAAGCAATCTGCGATGTGAGCAAAGACAAGGTAACCAAGCTCCGTCCGAGCTGTCATAAGGATAGGATAGGGAACGACGCGTCGATATCGTGAGAGGGAATAACGAGAGATCGCGTGCGGGGGCACATTGAGACACTGAGGCAAAATACACAAGACCGGTTTGGAAGAAACGATCACGCTTGGGCAACCCGATATACCTGGGAGAAAGTCAGCAATGCAGGGATGAGTGAGCTTGCATATCATATGTACCTTAAAGAATCCTTGTTTAAGGTCGTCAAGGCGGAAACTCTGGGACTCTATTGTCTGCTTGCAATGTCAGTCTCGTCTATCGCCCCCTGGACTCCGTACGCACCGGATAATGATTAGGGTGCACGCTCGCAGTCAACAACCTCATCTTCCCGTTCTTCGGCTCAAACTCATGTACAACTCCCACCAGTGGGTCTGCAAGACTTCCCACATGCTGATGATATGGCACAAGGCCCTTGCGGCCCCTGAACTCGGCATCAGCGATCACGGCCACGTCGCCTTCCATAATATCGCTCGTGCGGCGTTGGAGGGAAGGACCCGACATAGAGAATATCAGGTAACCATAGACGTGCGGGGAAACCGGTTTGCGCGCGGAAGGGACCATGTCCAACGTGGCGTGGACAAAGCCGTCTCCTGATCCGTCACCGATCACTGCGCGTTTGCTTTGCTCAGCCAGCTGCAAGGCAGCTTGGAGCACGCGGGTGCCGACAGAACCCCAGAGTGCCATCAGCTGGTCGCTGTCCAGTTCTGGCAGATAAACAGGCTTGGGAGGAGGGGGCGGTGCCTCTGGCTCCGCCGCAGCCGCAGCATACATCGTGTCATCCTCGCTCCAAGAAGATAGGCTGGTGACCGTGTGCTCGCTGAGGCCTAGAGACGAATTGGGGATTTCGGGCAGTTCCCATTGGGACAAGCTGGTGTCCGTGGGGGATGCGACGCTCTTGGGTGGAGAAAAGTTGCGTTCATGAGAATCGCGTCGAGAACTGAGAGGGGGTATAGGACTGCCTCCGCTAGCATACCTTTCGTCGGCGTTGGAATACCCACCACTGCTGGTACGCTGTGGCAAAGGCAAACCTCGGCTGGGAGGCGGGGGAGGTGCTGAATGAGTTGGGACAGGCGGGCGGCCTCCGGGGATCGAAGACGAGGTCCTTCTACCGGGGGGAACTTCAGAAGGCAGAGGTGGAAGTACGGTACGAGAGACCCGTGGTGGCGGGGGTGGCGGCACTTCCTCTTCCTCGTGAGCAACCTGCTCGTATTCATCCTCCGCTTCGATGAGTTCACCGTCGTCCAGTGGTTCCGGGGCTGATGGGGGAGGCGCCGGTGGCAGACTTCGCGACCTTGCAGGTGGTACTATGGTAGGCCCGCTATCTGCGGCTGGAAGTTTAGTGGGTTGCGGGATGGATCTCTGAGGGCGAGGCGGCGGAGGGGGGGGCACTTCCTCTTCCTCCTCCTCCTCTTCTTCTTCCTCGGCGTCAGCCGCAGCGTCATCGTGCTTTCCAACTTCTGCAGGTTCAATGGTATCAACAAGTTTATCCTCGGTGACAGACCGGGGCATGCTGGGCGGTGGTGCAGGGGGTGCCAACTGAGGTGCCATTCCAAATCCTCGTCCTCCGCCAGCAACTAGTCTTGCAAGAATGGCCTGTCGACGGGCATGCTCAGATTCTTCACTGACAGGGAGGGATTCTGCCGTTTCGTCTTCTAGCTGAGGAGTCCCGTGCTCTGGTGCGGTGATTGCTTCGGCCTTGACAGTGCTTTCTTCTGAGGGAGGAGCTGGTACGTTACGCGCCGGCGGCAATGAGGGGGGCAAACCAAATCTCAGTCCCCCCAGCTGTATGTTTCATCAGATCCGTCTTACATATGAGAACTCCTTCAAGCGCACCTTAGCCATTCTAGCAGCAATTGTCTGACGACGAGCAAGCTCTTCATCTTCTTCTGTTGGAGCAGACTCGTCGGACGCATCGGGTGCAAGCGGCGGAGGTGAAGCAGTGGTTACAGGTGCAGTTGCGGCAACTGGAGATGCAATATTACTTCCCGGAGGCGTAACCTTTGGCAGGCTACTAGACGATGTTTGACGACTGGGAGGGGAGTAGAATGATGGATCAATAGGGTCTCAATCCGGGTCAATGCGTGTCATACGAAGTCTGTACCAATAACATACCGGGCTCATCATCGTCATACATCAAAGCTTGAGTGTTAACCAACACCACTGCTGGCTTTGCCGACTCGTCATTTGTTGTCTCTTCCTCCGTAAGCGGCTGCTGTGTGATCATTTGCGACATTCCAACGTGCAGTGGGGCAGCATCACTGTCGGCATGCGTTACCTGAACTTCTGCGTCGTCCACGAGCAACTCCTCGTCGTGATGCCGCTCATGCACCACTGGTTCCTCGGCGACAGGGTGGGCAAGAGGAAGGACAGTTGATGGTGGCGGAGGCGGCAAGGATCGCCCAGGTCTGCCAGTGTGCAGAATGACCGGTGGAGGAAGGGCAGGTGCGGCGGCTTCTTCAGCGTCCTCCTCCACAGGTTGGTGGTTGTGGTACTCCGTGACTTGTTCATCCGCCTCTTGGTAAACATCCTCCTCTTCCTCATCATGCGCTACAGCAGCAACTTCGAGCTCGAGCTCCTCAGGCGTATCTTCCGAAACTGGCTCGGCTGCAGGAGGGGGCGGCGGAGGTGGTAGTGAACGAGTGGGGTGATGACCCAAGGACTGGTGTTCTTCGTGCTTCTCCTCCTGTATATCCTCCTCCATATGATATTCGTTGTCTCCGTTGGGTGATTCGTGATCTGGCGGTTCGAGATTTTCGTCGGGGAACTTTTTATGTTCAGGTATCAACGGTTGTGGTTCATCAACCTCAGCAGTCTCCTTGTCAACCACGTCTTCTGGCCCGTCATGTACAACATGGGTATCGGCAGGCAATGCAGACTGCGCAGGCTGTAGAGCCGAAGGGGAGGTAGTCGCGTGCTTCTCAGTGGATGAAGTAGATCCTCTCTTAGGAGGGAATGCTGGAACTGGCATGCCGAATGTGACACCACCAAGCTATAAGAGAAACAACTGTTATATTCCAATTCCGTATTTACATCAGTCGGTACTAACCTTCCTCATTCGTTCGGCCATTTGGTGTCTCTCATCAACTTCCTCATCCTCCTCTGCAGCAGGTTCTGTTTCATCTGGCTCGGGGCTCGCTTCCACGTCTTCGATGATGCCAGGCTCGTCCGACAGCACAATATGAGGACTAGAAGCACCATGTGCGATCACTGGTTCTGTTGTCTCCGGTGCATAGTGAGCTTCATGTTCGGGGGCAGCCTGCCCTGCCTCCTCCACAGGTTCTGTTTGAGAGGTAGTTAGGACTCCTGTAGGCGCCTCCTGGTGGGAAGGCTCCTCATGAGCGTCAATGTGCTCCAGTTCTGCAGTTACATGAACTTCGGGCTCTCCGTCTGTTGTCAATGAGGCGGGTTCTTCCTGAGCATGCTCGGTCTCCACAAGCGTCACCTCCTCATGGGCAGGGGCGATGGGCTGGTGCGCCGGTTCTTCAGCTTCAGCATTCTCTGCGCCTTCTTTACCGGCCTCATGATCAGAGACGTGCGCGGCTTGCGTCTCTGCTTCCTTCGCACCGCTCGCAGCTTCGTGAACAACCTCCGGTTCTTGGGGTGGAAGTGGAAGAGGGCCACGATTGCGCCGAGGAGGGGCAGCACGGCGTGGAGCAGCAGGCATGGGCATCGCGATGTGCTGTTTTGGCGGTGCAGCAGAGGGTTCCGCTGCCGATGTGGCAGGAGCTGTCTCTGCGGTAACTTCAGCATTTTCGATGGCTTCGTGAGCGCCTTCCTGGGTAAGGGATACGAGATGTTTCTCTTCAGGAGCATGGATCTCCTCGCCTTCGGCTTTTGTTTCATGAACGGGAGGGGCCTCCTGCGCAAAAGTCACTTCAGATTCCTTCGGTTTCGCGAGTTCGGCAGATTCGGTCTTTAGAACGGCCTCCGGTTCATGCTCCGGCTCGTGTACGGGTGGGGAAGAAGTCTTCGGCATCATGGGCAGCACGGCGATCCTCTCGTGCTTCGGCTCCTCTGACGTGCTCTCATGTTCACCTTCTACTTCGTGGGTATGTACCACAGGTTTAGGTGGTGGCTTTGGCCGAGGGGCACCGAACATAGGAGCCATACCAAGGCGAGCGCCTCCGAGACGAGCCATGCGGGCTGCGATGGCAGCACGGCGTTCGGCTTCGAGCTCTTCTTCGGTCTTCTCGTGTTCCCCGCCTTGGGCGTCACCGGCAGCTTCAAGTGACTCGGCGTCAGCTGGGGGAGAAACGTGATGCTCGACAGTTTCATGCTCGCTCTCGTGACGTGAATCAAGCGCAGGTGCCGCATGTACGTCGACATGGTGCTTTGCCTCTTCATCTGCAGCTGAAGGTGACGTAGCGGAGACATGGTCCTCCTCACCGAGAGCTTTGTGCTCTCCTTCGACAGCCGCGGGAGAGACAACCGGTTTCTTCCACTCCCGTGGTTTGGCAGCTACTGGAGGAGCTGGAGCACCAGTCGGACCAAAAGCGCCCTTGCCCTGGAGAGCCGCCATCCGGTCTTTCAAACTCCCACCAGCCTTAATGCTGTCCCTCGCATCACTCGCGGACATGCCGCCATGAATGCCAGGGGTCTTAGGTTCCGTTGGACTAGCAGCACTCGCCGTCGATGGTTGAGCGGGAGGTTCCGCAAGTTTCGGCTTCCATTGGCGCGTCGGACGAGGGCCAGGAGCGGGCGCGGGCACCGGCGCTGCCGGTTGCTGCTGTTCAAATGCCTTGATACGGTCGCGCAGCGAGCCGACCTTTGGCTTTGGAGGAGTCTCGAGTTGATCTGACATGATAATAGCTTGGTACTAGACGTGAATGGTCAGAAAAGGAGGTGCATATAGGCAGGGCGCAGCCACTAACTGTTGGGTGGTGGGACTAAATAAGGCTCGGGTGGAACCAAGTGACGCGTCCTCTCCGCAACGTGTCTGTCGTGTGACAAGCGGCCGTCAACAAGCAAGGTTGGCTATATGCGCAAGAAAAGGTCGACAATTGACAATGGGCCGAGGAGAGCAGCGCAGACTTCTGAAGAGACGACGCGTTACTGTGCAAAGACGATGGCCGTCCGTGCTCGCCGAGAGAAAGTGGGGGTAACGAACTGTGTGCAACGACGTCAGGAGACCGGCACCAATTCGGGGGTTTTCTACCCCGCTTCTCGTAGCCACAGACCATTCTGCATAGACGTTTCTTGACTTTCTGCTCAGGCACCAATTTTCCTTTCTTTCCATATGATTGAAGGCTGCCGGAGCTGGCTTGTGAATACAACTATGTGAATTATGCCACAAAAACTAGTGTACAAATGCAAGGATTGAATTTGAGTAATGCAGGACCTGTGTTTGGGAAATATCGATGTCCTTGAATATGTAAACAAGAACATGAAGTTGAGATAAAGAAATAAATCGTGATGTCATGGCTTGAAGGTATAGTGTTATGCAACGGCGGACATTTGACGTTCATCATCTCGGGGAAGAGTTGCAATTGGAAGACCACACCTGCATTAGCGTCAGTTTGAATTGCTTCATAAAAAGGCAGGGACTTACACCGGTGACACTTCCTGACTCCGATCAACGGCATGACGGAATATCCCTTTCAGAATTCTCCTCACCTCACGCTCGCCGAGGTAGTCATAGATGACCCTGTCCCACTGTAGAACACAGTAACCACAGAGACCGTTTTCTCGCAATCGTTTGTCTTTCGGACCAAGGACGGAATACAATACTGGAACAAGGGTTGCCGTACTCTCCGTTCCCTTCAAGAGCACGTCGCACATTGCTTGAGCGATGCGCTCCCCACAGCCATTCCTCTTGCAATCCTTTCCGTTTGGGCAAGGCCAAGGTGCAGCATGCCCGTGAGCACGACGGAAGAGATGAGAGCGGACGAGCTCCCGTGCGTGAACCAGGAGCGCTGCAGTTTCAGGCCCCATTTGCTGCATTTCCGCCTCGGTGAAGAATGCAGGTCGCATGCAAAGTTCGGCGTAGCAGCTCAGTCGCCATTCATCAACGTCGAATCGGTCCGCAACAGTCAACCTAGATGTTGATATGATCATCAACCAACGGATCGCTCCAATGTCATCTCTAGACTCACTTGAACATGGGATCAGGACATCTCGAGAGGACGTTGATTGCATTGGATCGAATTCTCTCGAAGTCAAACATTGTGGCCATATCCAAGATCTGCACCCATCCATCCGCCGATATGGCAGTCAAATCCCCATGAAACCTGTTGAGTATCTCAATCCCAGTGCCAGAAGAAAGTTGATAGATGTATATTCTGTACCCGGGATACATGTACCACAATAGACGCTCGAATGCAACGGCGTCCACACCCTCCAGTCGGATAGGGTTACTGTCCGACGAACCTTCTAACGGCGTGCCTTGCGGGGGGGGTAGAGAGAACATGGCATTGAAGACCGCGCTCTGCTCAAACAGATACCGATGAACGCGAAAGAGCGTATGCTCTACCTGCGGGATAGTCAGCATACAAAGGGCGATAAGCGCACAAAGCGCACCAAAAACACAACGTTCCCATCCTCCCAGTAATACTTCTCATGCCTTTGACAGCGTCTTAAATCCATGATTACCTCATGAGAGCAGCTTCCGAGATGCGATTGTCGTCCAGTGGCAGCCATTCAGCTGCTGCGCAGAAAATGGTAAGAATGTGGAAGAGGGCGTCTTGTGGACGTGGTCAAGCTGAATTTATAGCACCGCAGTTGCCGAGCAGAATCAAACACGCACGGTGTATCGCACTTGCATTGCGCGTGAAGCGAATTATAAAAATGTGCATAAGTGCATGAAAAAGGCCGCTAGCGCCCCGGATTGACATGCAGTGCCATCGCCTGCGTGGGTCGTTCGTTGGTAGGCAAAGAAAACGCCGAAAGCGCGGCAAGCCGCATTGTGGATGGTGCTGGAAGCCACTCGTAGTTGGTGTGTGGCTGCCCTAATGAAAATACCAACAGCTAGCGGACGTCGTCGTGGAGCAACGTATGAACGGAGTTGGGAGCGTCCGAGTCAGCTTGAGCCTGTAACGGAAACCGCCGTACAGTGGCCCTGAACAGCATTTCGCCCTAAGCGCCCACTAGCTCCGCACCACCACGAGACGATGTGCATCGCTCTCTTCTGCTTTGATCATCCGGTATACTCTGTGTACGTATGATACATTTTATTTTAATTCATGTAGCACTGACCTATCCGTCCTGCTATGTTCGATCATTCCGTTAATCAGCATACTATGCTCCAACAGGGACGAGTTTTTGCATCGTGCCACTACACACGCACGCTTCCACAACTTTGAAATCAAAATTCCCGGTGATGATGATGAAGCTACCCCTGAGAAACCTGGAGATGTCCTCTCGGGGAGAGATCTAGTCGCAGGCGGAACCTGGCTGGGAATCAATCGAAAGGGGCGCATTGCAGTTCTGTCAGTTTGGTACTATTTGGTTCCCGATTCCCCCAGCTAACCGGTTAATTCTGCATTAGCACCAATATCACAGAAGAATATCAGACATGGCCCACGTCTCGCGGTGATCTACCCCACAACTTCCTCAATCCACCGGCTAACAAGTTCGAGACGCTGGATGACTACGTTCGACATCTCACTACGCCCCCATCTGACTCATACGCCGGTTTCAATCTGCTCCTAGCCGCTCCCAGCAAGGGTGGCATTGATAACTTCGAAGTGACAAGGTTGACAAATTCGGGGGGGGGTGGCCCCATCACGGCACGGTCGTTGAGAGATAATGAGCGTGCACACGGTGGCATGTCGAATGGTGTGGATGGTGCTGCGGAAGGAGAATGGCGAAAGGTCATTGAGGGCAGTGAAAAGTTACAGAAGATCTTAGAGGTGGGACTTGATGAGGATGGGATGATTCAGGCGACATTTGACGCCCTAAGGTGTGTTTGTATGTCTGGCCTGGTTGTTTGGTGTCTGATAGCCAATCAGCATATGCCGAACACCACCTCAAACACGCCAACAGCTACGAACTTCCATCATGATCCCACCACTGCTCATCCCAATTACCGGCAAGGTACCGCCTGGAGGGAACGAGCCACCGGTACCAGATCCGGTCACGAAAGAGATTGGTCTCTGGTATGCGACTCGTTTGTCAACTGTGCTGTTGGTGAAGAAGACTGGAGAAGTTACATTCGTTGAACGGGACATTTGGGCATTGGATCCCGATACTCAGCAACCTGTCCACTGCGGCACGAACAAGGATCGCATTACGCGTTTTCAGTTGGAGGTCATCTAGACAGTCGGAAACACTGTAAATCAAGAACAACATGTGTTGTACAATATTCAATAACAATCCCCCAACGGTAAGCTCAATAGACCGTTTAAAGAAGCGTTGCTTCCCGGAGATAGTTCCCCACACGAAGCGCAGAAGCTAAGCCTGCAAGTGACAGCGCAGCTTCTGCGGGGGTAAGACGGTCACCTATGCGGCCAAAGACGTACCACAAACTTGTGGCTGAGGCGGTGCTCGCTCCAGCCACATGTTCGTGGTTTTCCACAAGGGTATCCACATCCAGCTAAAATCCAGCTGATGCACGGAAGCATCACCAGCCACGCCACACTTCTGCTGTAAGGCCCTGACCACTCAGGGTTGCCCATCATCACAACTGTGTTCCACAACAATGCTGCCCTTCTTCACTGAATATCTGTATTTCCCCAGACTTGCCAAGTGCATCATCACCAAGAGCACCTTGTTTGAGGTGAATGCACAATGCCAACATGTACTGTTCACCCCCAATGACAAGTTCTTGTATGGGCAGTCCCCACAGCAAAGGAAGCATGCTGTGTATCTGGCAAGGTTGCAAGCCAAGTTCATGCTCCTTGATCCAATCTCATGTCTTCATTAGAACTCAAGAAGAACAACTAGCCTACCAGTGCAAGCAAACAAAAAAAAATGTGGAAGCAATGTCAAGAGAAGAAGAGCAAGTCCCTTCAATGACTTGAGATGTGGAAGAAGAAACAGGCACTGGTGCAAGTGGTTGAGGCACTCACATACTGATGAGCAGCATGGGTACATGGGCATGTATGTAGTTACAAGAGAGGGACAGAGGTATCTAATGCAAACATGTTTGTGTTGCAACTAGCCCTGCTCAAGAACAAGGAATCGAGTGCATACTTCCCATTTCTGCTGTTGGCCACAAGCTGATGGGCTTGGGCCATGGCCACATGAGGGGTCAAATGACTTCCATCCATGGTGTGTCAATCATGCATATCTTCCTTGGGGACAACAGATGAGCATGTGGCAGTTCTTCTCAATTTTCTTGCCGGCTCACTTGTATCATCAACATCTTCATCATGATCTTGGTCTTGGTCTTGGTCTGTGTGCTTGTGCTTGTGTGGAGCCAAAGCAGATGTTCATGCTCATTCTTCCACTCGATGGCAGACATCTTGCTTGTTCATGGTCCAGAAGAAACAAGATCCATTGGCAAGGGCTTGTTGTACCTTCTGCAAGTCTGCCAACATAGAGATGTACGACAGATTCACAAGGGCAGGCAATGGCCAGCCCTCCAAGGTGATGTTGTGCCAGTCTTCCACATCTTGTCCAAATTGCTTGTATGACATCATGATGTTCATCTTGCCTGTGAGCTTCTCTGTAGTACCATGAGCCTCAGCATGAACCAGCACTTGTGCTTAACATACAGAGCAACATTGTGAGCACCAGTCATATATGAGCCTTGAGCTCATTCACTTTCTTGTTCAAGTTATTGGCAGCATCTATTCATTCATCAGCTTGCGCCACAGAAGAGCTTGACCCAAACACTTACCTTGAGCTCCCCCACTTGTACAATATGCCTCCAAGCCCATGGCAATCTGGAGAACGGGATATTCAATGATCTCCTTGAAGAATTGCTTGCAGAGTTCATCACCAAAAAAGTGGGGCTTGGTGTAGTCCTTGATGTTGCCCCAGACAATGAAGCCACAAGCATGGCCACCAGTTTAAGTGCTGAAAGCTGCACTCTGATCAAGTTGATCAGTACACAAGCATGTACAAGATCTTTCCACTCACATCCTTCTCAAATGTGTCTTGGACAAGCACCTGTCCACAAGTTGAGCTCATGCAGGGACTCAGACTTGAAGGTGCTTTGACTCACACTTGGCCAACATTGCATGTTCAGCTGATAGTGCAGCTTCAGGATGAGTTCAGAGCCATTTGACCTTTGCCTTGATAATGTTCTTGTTCTCCGGCAAGGCCCAGTTGTTAGGGCAACACAGGCTGACTAAGTCTGCTCACCTAAGAGTGCCAAGAGTCTAAGCAGGCAACAAGGAAGTGGAGTAGACCTGATGACTAAGACCTATCTACAGTATAGGTACCTGTGGATGATCCTAAGAGACCAAGTCTGAAGAGACAGTCCCCAGGCAGAGTAGGCCTTATATTTATACC